GACTAAGATAGAGATTGCAACCATTAATTAAGATTCGGGTATTTTTTCTTCGAATAATATAGTGTATCGTCAAATTTTGTGTTGATAACGTAAATGTTTCTTTTTTAGCATATTTGTTATTTTCCGCAATTGTTTATGCCATTATTTAAAACATAAAAATGAACATAGTGTGGATCTCAGAGAGAGTTTTCTATGAATCCCGTTAAGATATACAAAAGCTTCTTTTTTTAATAAGTTTATTTGCTGGTTTTAGATTTTATCCCCGGTGGGTCAATGATAAGTTCATGGGCTTACAAAGCTAAAATCCGGGATTTGATTCCTCGTGGTGAACAGAGCGCAGACAACTCAATTTGTAGCTTTGCGCTGAAACAATAGTGAAAAAAAGTTAATTTTTCGCACAAAGAGCTATATGCTCACAGCTGTTCTGAAGTTTTAAACAGTAGGTTAGAAGGAAGGAAGGGAGCTAGTCAACAGCAAACACGCCCTCTCTTTGGGTTACAATTGTCTGACCGAATAGTGGGATTTGACCATCATTTTTATAGCACGTTCGTGCCCCAAAAATGCACAGCATATTTTTGCAGCAAAGTGTCGCGAACCCTCAAATTCCCAGTCCAACCACGAGGCCACGCCCGCGACTTTTAAATACAATTTTTCAATTATACATATAGGAGTTAAGGTGTTTTACACCACGCCCCTTTATAAAAGAAATACACAAAAACCAATAATGGGCTATCTGCTGTGTCTGCAGTGGGGGAATCGAGCGTCGGATTTTAACGTTATAAATCCATAAACTTACTACTGTCCCACCGGGGGACACCAGGAAGTGAGAGAGAGAGAAAAACTGTATAGAAATGAAAATCGTATTAGTTTTTAAACTTTGCAAAGCAGATTAGAGGATTGAAACTACGTTTAAAAAACACAACTAATCACACTCTAGAAAAAATGATTTTATTCAAACCCGACGTTTCCGCTTACATCTTTCTCAAGGGTTACAAAATTTATACGTGACGCTGTAACCCTTTAGAAAGGCGTAAGCCGAAACGTCGGGTTTGAATATAATCTTTTTTTTTAGTATGTTTAGTCGTTTGTTTATATAAACGTAAATATAAATGAAATTATTATTCTTTTTTGTATAAATATTACTTTTCAACATATAAGCACATAGAATTTTTGAGAAAACATTTTGGGAACATAAAACAATACATTGTATTGGTAGATGTTGAACACAATCATATAATAAATGCAGGATTTACATATACAAAGCAGAAGAGTAACGGTCTTATATACATGCATTGCATACAGCGTTAATCTCGCTTTTTGGTTTAACGATTTTTGATTTGTTTTTCATGATTATAATGAATGAAGTATGAAATCCTCTAAGAATCACATACTTTCAAAAATCTGATTATATTCGATGTGTTTGAGATTATAATAGAATTGCCTACCTTTGTCATCACTAATATTACAAATTGTCCACTAATGTTATAAATTCTTATGTAGTAACACTGTCCTGGAAACTGATGTGCGTAATATTGGATCTTATAAGTTGTGCATTTGCATCGGAAACAATATACCCTAATACACAAAATGACTTATATGTGGGTAAACTCGTATCTGAATCAATATTACAGATGATTTCGGACAAGAGATGAGCTCTGAAAATTAATTTGCACCAATATTCCTATAATGAAGAAAAACTAATAATTCCACATAACTTCGATTTACTTATCTTTTAAAAGTATAGTATTAATTATAGTGGCTAGTAATTTTCACATCAGCTAACAGTAGAGAGAAGTCTAAACGTCACATTCAAGGCATAGACGGTTTCGAACACTTTGCCTGATTTGACGATCATGATATTATTGCCATTGGAAGCTTTCTAGCATTAGTTTGTTTGTTTGTTATGACTTTCGCGCAAAGCTACACGAGGGCTATCTGCGCCAGCCGCCCCTAATTTAGCAGTGTAAGACTAGAGGGAAAGCAGCTAGTCATCATCACCCACCGCCAACTCTTGGGCTACTCTTTTACCAATGAATAGTGGGATTGATCGTCACTTTATAATGCTCCCACGGCTGAAAGGGCGAGCATGTTTGGTGTGACGGGGATTCGAATCCGCGACCCGCAGATTCTTGCATTAGAAGGGCGTAAGAATTTATCAAACAAACAACACTATTGAATAAGACGAGACAACACCCTGACAGCTGTGTGAGACAGTTTGTAGAAGAATATTACTGTAGTCATTTTAGAACACTATTAACTAAGTATGGATGACAGCACTTGTGAAAAAGTTAAAATGAAATAAATAAATAAAATGCAACGTTTATCGGTTTACACATTTTCATTGAGATCGTCAACGTTCTCTATTTACATATCACCAAACTTTACACGTTTGCCCCCAGTAGCACAGCGGCATGTCTGCGGATTTACAACGCTAGAAACCGGGTTTCGATACCCATGGTGGGCAGAACACAGATAGCCCCCTTGTACAGCTTTGTGCTTAACTACAAACAAACATTCTCCGCTGTGCCCACGACGAATATCGAACCCCTGCGTTATAAGCCTTCAGACTTACCGTTGAGCCATTGGGGGGGGGGCTGTTTTTAAATGGAGACCATTGACAAACTCAATAAAAAGTTGCATTTTATTTAATTATTTGATTTTACAGTCTTAACTTTTAGTATTCAAAGTCTCTTTTTAACCCTTTAAGTTTACACTAGCAGTTCCTTTCTCACTCAATAACGCTTTTCTTCGTTTTTAATATTGTTGCGTCATCGAGATCATGTGATTCTCACGCTCTCTACTTTCTAGAATTATCCCGTATCTTG